GCTGCAGTACAAAACAGTACCGACAACATCAATCTGATCTGAATATACATATACCTTTTCTTTCTTTTTTGGTAAGCAACTTTCAGTACTATGGAGATCGATAATTTTGTATTCTTTTCCCCCTGCAGTAAGGTGGTTAATTATAATTTTATATCATAAGATTAGCTGTTGTTCCTAGAATATTAGATACCTGTAACTAATAATTCATTCATTCGTACATCTTTTATACATTTTGTATCGCAATAATTTGTTGTGAGAATGATATCCTGTAAAAATTAGAATAAACCATTTACGAGACTGACGTTCCATTTTGAAATGTTGATATTACCATTTATGACAAATATTTGAAGTTATAGTTCATCATAAATTTGATTTCTCTCTTCTGTGTAGATGCTCGGGAACATTCTCATTACTATTATAGATAATGTTGAAATATACATAATTCACAATTTCTTCTGAATGAAAAAGCACTTTCTTAAATTGCTTGTGTGATCATCAGTTTGTGTAAATGTTAAGGCTTGTGGTCCTGATTAGCAATACACTAATTATGCTTACCGAACAATACAATATCATGATGAACTGTTTTGTATTCCGTCGTAGAGCTGACACGCATGGTACATTTATGTTCATCTGTTAAATGAGATAACGCGAGGGAAACAGTAGAGACACATCGCAACAGAGAGAGAGAGGGGGAGGGGGAGATATAGGGCATAAAGACAGGGGGAGCATTAGAGAGAGAGATGAGGAAAGCGTTAGTGAGAGAGAGAGAGAGAGAGAGAGAGAGAGATGGGGGGGGGGGTCTGACGCAGTGGATTGATTTGAAAAGAAAACTTTATCCCGAAATGAAGAAGCTGAAATGAATGACACATGTACAAGTGGCATAGCTCCGACAGCATGGAGGTAATTGCCGTTTAAAGGCCTTCTATCACCTTCCCTTATTTTATTCTTTGTTTTTATCATTCTATCAATTTCTCTTTCTTTCTATCCTATGTTATTCTTTGTTTCTTCCTTCTATCACCTGCTCATATGTTATACTTTGTTTTATTATTTCCTCTTTTCATCCTTTGTTTATTCTTCTATCACCTTATCTTATTTTTGTTTTGTTTTATCAATCTAACTTGCTATTTCTGTCATCCTCATGTTATTCTTCGTATCAGGTTTTCGCGCTCTGTGAATTTATTACCTGATTAAATCACCTGATCTCAAAAATTGGTCACGTGACCGACGAAAGCACCGTCCAAATCGAACGCACTGCCGCGAAGGAAATGGACGTAAGTTGCGCAACGTCTCCACGCTCCAGTACCTCATAGTAGCCGACGTCCGGTGCCTAAATCGAAAGCTCGCTAATATACCCGATTTTTCGCGAGTGCGCCTCGGGAAAGACGCATATAGTCACGTCATGCTACAGCCCCTTTAAAGTATGATGGCGATATTTTAACGAACCACTTACGCGCTGAACATATACATAATGCTCTTCGTTTGGGATACAAATTCGAATCTGAAGGTTTCGAAATAAAAGAAAAACTAAATTAAAATTGTCTGGCGGGGCCCAATGCCTTATTATAGGCCTACTAATCATAAATAAATAAAATTATTTTCCCTTGTTGTTTGAGAACCATATTTTTTCAATTTGACCGGTTCGAATATAAATATCTCCTCAGTGCTTTCGTTGCATCTGTCCCGGAACTGTAAATATAATAGCCTGACGTACCTACAGAAAACAAGGTTCTATAACAAATAATTGTTATGCATCAAGTTGAATCGGGTGGCTAGCAAAGACTTGTTCAGACGGGGTTTTGCTAGTCGGTGTAAGTTAATTCCGGCAGCAGTAAAAACCTCATGTATATTTCACTTACATCAACAGATGTCTACACGCTCTTACTCCGACCGACTTCCCACGAGAAAATTAACACGGGACACGACTCCGTACATACAAAAAATTGACTTTACACACCGAACTTAGGGGGTGTTTTCAAAAGGAGGAAACACGCATAAATTATGCGTACCCTAAATAACACTGAGTGGGGGGGGGGGCTGGGACACGACCTTCCACCGACCAGTGTAACTTACGCAGAGACAGATACTGCCGGGTGTCAATGAGAGCAGAGCCTTACACAAAGTTTGCCAGGGACATGCACATGCTAGACATGTCCCTGGTTTGTCCAACTGCTTTGTTGAGCAAGCACAAAACAAAAGAATGTATGCCGTGTTGTGACCCAGTGAAACCAAGTTGGTCAATTTCTCTGTGTTTAGATGGCTCGTGAAAGGTCACAGAAAATCCCAGGTGTAAGTTGAGAGCATCCACACTGTCAACTTACGCTACCCTCCAGTCGTGTTAGTGAGTTACTCCTGAATTTTCCAGGAGTATTAAAACAGGTCGGGGTAAAGGTAGCTGCACCTAGGTGTAGCTAACACGATCATCGTTTAGACGGTCACTACTCATACCTTTACACCTACCTCGCCATACTTAAAACGACCTGTACCCTAGGGTAACTTGCCACCGTCTGAACAAGACTAATATGTGTTAATGTGCAATATGAACCAATGTGCTCTCAAATGATCTCATTCGTATCATTTGTATGAAGCATTGTGTCAAGTACGCGTACAATGCCAAATGTAAGCATGACATCATGCCAGTATCAATGTAACACAGAACGAGTCAAGTGTATTTTAATACCTTTCAAGGGCTTGTGACGAACGTTTAACACCTTTCATTGCACTTTGAGGAAGTTGGCCATTAAAAAAACAGTGCTACGTTTCGACTTATAACGAGGAAAAGCAAGCTATCTTTAAGTTTTTGGTACAGGAAAAAACCACTATACCTATTAACTACGTCTACCTACCAATTGACATTTTGAGAACGACAGCTTGGTGGAAAATTAGAATATGTTTATTTCTGTGCTTGAAACATCGTTAAGAAATACATTATCTAGGAACATCAACCTTCATATGTACAGGAAGCAGAGGCAAGAGGGGCATTATCTTAGATGAGACTCGTTTTATGGTATGATGGATATCCTTCATCGAATCATGTCTGTGTCTATGCAGATTTTTACTGTCTTGGTGTTGATGATCAGCATTCACAGAGATACATGGCAAGGTAAAATAAACCAATTGTGATACGAGAGCCTATAATGCACTCATTACAATCCTGTTGACTTTGGTATTACCATTTTGAATTGCATACTTCATCGTGTTCATGTCTCCATTTCCGATCTTTACTGTTTCCTTTAGCAAGTAACTACAATCAAACCAGAGTGATCTAGGAGGCGGCTATTCTGTGGAGGTGTCGTGGTATAGTGGTCCATTCACTTGACTCTCAATCCAAGGGTTGAGGATTCAAATCCAAGCTGGGCACTAATTCCCATTGGCAAGATATTAATCCGCGTTTGCTTCTCTCCATTCAGATGTAAATGTAAATAGGTACCTGACAGTGGCTGGGGTAATTTTATTACAGCAAGAACAGCATGATGCTGATGGGGCTTCCCTGGGGAAACAGAATTATCATAATTGTTATTATTATTATTATTATTATTTGTATCATGCCTAGGTATGTATATTATTCTAAATATGTATTATTGTTGGTATTGTTGTCATGTCACATGGTAACTGAAATATCTACAGGAATACACACGACATATATCATACAGAAATACCCTCACTTAGGGTTAAAAGCACATACACAGTCCTTGCTGTAAACAAAGACAAATAAGGGTTACACTTCAAATATAACATCGAAATCAGATTTTCATCTCAAGGCTTGCAAGTCTCGTAGTACCTCCTACTCCTCTCCTCCTTTGACTCTCTAGAACTTGGTCCTGTAATTGACCTACATCCCCCACACTTCTCTAGCTTCCCTTTTGATGTCACACGACTGGAATTAAACTAACTTTCACAGTCGAGAATAACAAAATATTCCTCTTTTCCTTTCCATTGTTATATGGAAGCCACAAAATTACACTTAATTATTTTTTTTAATAGTTCAAAATAAATGTCATACCTTTAATTTTCCGACATTTCGAATATCATCGTACAAGAACAAATAGCCAAGTGATACAATATAAAATAATACATTCAAATCGGATACCGATGATTGCAGTATTCAAAAACTACAACAAATATCAGCCATTTCTGCCAGGCCGAATCAAAACCGTCTGTTCCTTGACTTTAAAAGAAACTCAACGAATTCTGCCCAGTAAGAACATCATAAGAAAAATCAGCAATGGCTGTAGATCAGAACCAAATCCCATATGTCTCTTGGCTTCAAAATTCAGGTGTGGCAAAGTCTCAGACTGTACTCACGCCAAACCTATCCACGTTTTATACAGAACCTAAAGCAGGTGCATATTCATACCTTCCTTTTTATCAAAATAATATTGGGCCAGCACAATAATCCGTGGCATAGCTTAATTAATTAACTCTCTGCCATCAATAGAACTTTCCAGACCTTTACTCTCACCATTTCTTCACCTCAACATTCAGTACCAACCTACATACTTCTTTCTTCAATTAAATACTTATCTCTCTCTCTCGATTGAGATACAAAGACACAAAAAAATATATACATATATTTATGAGCATTTTCAAAGTGACATTTTAAACAAAACTGACAGTGTTTAACTTGAAATGCACGAATCAAGATTAATTGATTGAACTAACCAAAACTGTTCATTTATTTTTTCAATCATTTCAATCGTTTGCACGACTGTAAACAATTTTAATCATAATTTTGTTTTCCAATTTATTTTAGCTCTTCAGGAAAATCAAATTAAATTATGATATTTTTCTACAAAAAAAACTAACCAGCATCTTTAACAGATATATATATATATCATACATAATGTATAAACATAGAATATCACAAACCAAATAAACATGAAGGAAGACGATATAACAAAACAATTTATGTTGCTATCTACTTTTAAAACTATATAAACCTAACAAAAAGATATTATTGCCTAGAAGAGGTCTATGAATTTATAATACAACATTAATTAGTAATGCTATTACATTCATATTCAGTCAATGGGCAGATATGTAATACTCCAGACTGGCTAGACTATGGTGATTCACAGTACCTCATCGTTAACCATGTAAGGACCTGGTCTGCTGCGAGGATCCACTGCCAAGACAACGGTGGAGATCTTGCAGTTATTCGTTCTCATGAACAAACTGTAAGTGGAATAAAATTTAGCAATATGTATTCATCAATATTATTTTGTCACTGATATTACATAATTCCTTCATCCCTTGTTTAACCGGTGTAAGAAAGGCTGTTCCATGTTAATTGACAAATTCGCAAGATATTAACCTGAATCATGTAGATTTATAAAGGATATTTCAAAATATCTAGGAATATTTATTTTGGGCTATTGAAACCACTTTCACCAAGTTGATTTTTCTTTGTAAATGTGTATTTAAATTTTCATTATTTTTTGTGTAAACTCATTTTATTTTGCATGGATGTAATATGATAGTAACAACCATTATCCCTGACCTCTTATCATACTTTGTACGTCAGTGTGTATCCTAGGTAAATAAACATGGTTACTGCAGATCATTTTTTATAAAGTGAAGTGTGATTTCATTGTACTTTTTTTTCTTTGATTCTACGATTTGCCGAATGCTCAATCCACTAATTCAAAATGTGAATATTTAATAGATTGCGCCTGTTTATAGAAATAATTCATAATTTTTTTCAGGAAAAAAAGTATTAATGCCAAAAAAAACATATTTAAGGATACTCCATGAATAATTTTTTTCTTCTTCACAATGACTCTTTGTTTTACTTCTCAGGCTTTTCTCGTCACCTACACGTTGAAATCTACTTATGGATATAGCTACTGGATAGGACTTCATGACTCAGACGGTGATGGACAGTACACGTGGATTGACGACACACAACCACAGTTAATATTTAACAATAATAATGATAATGATAGTTATAAAAATACAATGTTGAAAATCAGTTTTTTGTTCACCTCTTGTCATAAATTTATTATTAGAATATGATTTATTCGTGATGGATAAGGTATAGATATATCATATCAGAACACTACTGATCAATCTAAAGCGCCAAAAAGATTGATCATTTGAATTCTTAGAAAACTTTATCCGTAAAAAATTAACTTTATAGTCAGAATCATTTTTCACGAAAATAGAAACGAAGAAATTATTACAATTTTTGGTGCGACATTGTAATGACAACATCAATAATAATTATAATAATCATGATAATAATAATTGTAATAATGATAAGGACGATAATAATATTTTTGATAATCATGATGGAATGATATTTGTATAATCATAACAGAATAACAATATTGGCTGGTTAAAGGGTCAGATAATAGCGCATTTACTATTCAAGTCTGACCTCAATAGAAACAACAACAATTATCTATAATGATAATGATAATGGTGGCAATCATGAAAGTATGCAGCTTTGTTTTGTCTTGTCCTGTCATGAATTGTTTTGTCATGTTTTGTCCGATCTTATAATGTCAGTTTCCTGTCCTTTGTGTCCCGTCTTGTCATTTTGTTCTTTCGTATATCTCGATTACTTAAACACTTTAAAATGATTTATGAAAATGGCATTCATATTATATTATTCTTGGGAACCTACACAAAACATGCTATGCTTTCCAGTTTGTTCCCGTTTAATTTTATAATTTTCAACTTACTTTGTCAACTAGTTTGTTTATTGTGGAAACAATTGATATGAAATGGAATAAATTCGAATCGATCAATCATAAGGGTTGTTTATGAAGATGATGATTGCAATGATAATAATTTTAGGTTTCAAGCTGACCTATTAGACAATTAGTGGCATGATAGTCCTAGACAGCACCTTTACTATTTGCCAATTATGTTTAATAGTTAGACTCCTTTTGCACCTTTTTTCAGTAGTCATATCCAAAAAATTTCTAGATGTATTCGTTATCACACAACATCTGTGAAAATTATTTCGCTTTTCCCTATCTCGACTTTCAATATGAGAACCTTTTTCCGATGAAATGTATTTTTCGGTGGATATAAAAGTAAAGGAATAAACTCGATTTTTTTAAATACCTTTATTTCATTTGATAGGTACTCGAACTGGTCCCCTTCACAACCGTCAAGTAGCCATGCATGTGTCCGCATGAAATCTTCATACAGCGTTGTAAATCAAGGGAAATGGCAAACAAGTTCCTGCTCAAATACCCGCGTCCACATATGTCAACGTCCGAAAGGCAATTATATTAATATTTATTTGGCCAATGCAACGGTAACCTCAGCGATGATCGACATCTTCTTCCAATACATTTATCGTTTATGTTGCTCGGTCATTGGAAATTGTTTTGACCACCATTCTAATGCAATTATAAGGAATGAATGAATATGAAATAAATGCCTAAATGCATAAATAAATAAATGAATAAATAAATAAATAATTAATTAATTAATTAATTAAATATAAAATAAACCAACAGCAAAACTAAACACGGCAAATAATTTTAGTTGTAATATATGAAATGAGAAAATTGGACTAAACTTGTGTCATTTTTACATCATTCGTCAGATTCTCGTTGTTCGTGGCATCGTTTCGGCCAATCGTTATATCGGTTCTACGGAGAAGCAATGTCTAATGATGATGCTAGAGCACACTGTGTGAGCAATGGCGGTGACCTGGCCATTATCAAATCAGAAGAAATTAATGTAAGAGAACATAAGCTTACATTCTTACATTTATTGAACGTATCATTCATTTGTTTTCTTTGTAAGGGAACATACAGTCATGACACTGGGGCATTTTCTTTAGCCGTAGGTAATACAATTCATAATATGATAATGTTTAAGTCCAGATTCTAAAAAATATTTATATTGGAATTGAGCTTTTAGCCTGGATTCAAATGATTGAAAATGAATATCAAGAAGATGTATAGACTGGAGCATAACATTTTATGACAGCCCAGAAATGTAATTCATAACTCATATGTAAAATGTAAACGCCTTTTTTAATAAAAACTCCAATGAAGGCAAAACTAGGTGGGAAATACTGACTTAAACGTTCATGACAATTTGTTGTGTGTGTCTTCTTTTTCCACGTTCTTTTACAAGAATTTCCTGGTAGGATTCATAACATCTTCAAACCCGTCGAACACTTGCTATTGGCTTGGTCTAAGGAGAGGCAGTGGTAACAGTTTCGTATGGGTAGATGGCACTGCAGAAAGGTGATTTCATATCGTTCTTTTTCTCATTTAAACTTCTCCTTGTTTATGCTTTTATTTTCATTAGCAACAAACCAGTCGTTTATGTAGCAAAAGCAATTAAAAGCAATTATAGCTTCATCGATTTTCCCCAATTATTATTGAGTTACGTTTTAGTATAACAACTATAATGCATTTCTACATAGCAACGGTTGTTTTTATTTTACAAGCATTATAGACCTTATTCCCGTTGAAATTAAGTAAAATACCAGTGTCCCGATGTATTAAGAGTAATGCCTCGTTATACTGAATGATGATTATCTTTTATACTCATTTTTCAAATCAACCTTTTGGTATAATAGAAGAACTGAGTCTTCCTGGGCTCCAGGAGAACCAAACTACGGTGATATGATGGATTACTGCGCCTGCATGTACTCCGACAATGTAATGGATGGACGTCATGGGAAATGGAATGACATTTGGTGTTCGAATAGTCAAAAACCATACATCTGTGAGAGGCCTCAGGGTAGGTGTGCTCTGTAATGTAAGATCCATGTTTTCATGGTGTAATGTGTGTTTGTTTTAATATTGATGAAACAGTAATGATAACCTCAATACATCCTTAAAAGAGACGTCTTTGGATTTGTATTATTGTGTAGCATTGAATGATACATTGTTATGATTTAGTTTCTTTGTTATGATTTTAGATGACATTATATCTGACACATTAAGACCTAATCCGAATTCAATGGTTAGAAATATCACAATTTTCATTTTAGTTAAGAATGACGAGTGGACTCATTATCCAAATGTGAAGTATTTCATGCCATCCTTCTCAGCAAGTTATTTCGATGCAATGGAATACTGCCAACAATTTGGAGGATCGCTGGCTCAACTGAAGACCTCAGAAATAGACGTGAGTATATACAATCCTTCCGTATTTGTATATACTGGACGGTGGTCTTGTGTAAATGAATATCAATGGATAATTAATAAAGAGGATAGCAGTTTTAGGATTGGTTTTATATAGAAAAGTAGAATACAAAAATCTGTATCTTTTCATCGTGTATTACGGCATTTATGCACACCAACTGTTTGTTTACAATGAGGACAACTTTCTTCAAAAACTGATCTTGTTTCACATCATCCAACTCCTTGAGCGAATATCATAATTTCTCTTTTGCATATTTTGTATAGTGTGTTTTGATTGTGAAACACAATTCTCAAGAAAATAATGTATATTTATGCTTGCGCAATACATCCGCTCACGAAATGTGAAACTGGGCAGGTCACATTCAGGCAACAGGCATGACCCCCTCCCTGAATGCCTATGACCCGAATGCCCATGACAAGGCTTCACTAAAAGAGTCCTCATGCTCTGTCTTTTATCTTACAAACTAGGCTACGCCAGTTTCAACGATTAGAACAATGCTTATTTCATTTTAGAGATGAGAGGTCACCAATCAAACTGACCATTCAACCTGGACCGCTCTCTACATAGTTGAACATATTAAAGAATATTAAAACAAAATACGTAGGCTTTCTTTGAATTTTTATGAATGTCGGGGCGGGATGCAGAGAGTTGTAGGAATATATAATTTGTGTACATTTTCTAGTGCACTTTGTTCAAGGAAATATTTTTTTCAATACCAAACTGTCCTCTTCCTATTCCTTTGGTCACCATGGTCACTCGCTTCACTCGCCTTTGTAGAATTAAGGAACTATAAAGTTGGCAAGAGTATCACGTGGTATGACCAGACCAATCTTATGAAGCAATGTTTCTTTTGTCACCATAAACAGCTAAATCTCACAAACAGCTTCAGCAGTGTCGAGTTCTGGTTCGGGCTTGATTCACTTGGCAAGGAAGGTGTCTTCCATTGGGCGGATGGAACTTTTCTTCGATACTCAAGGTATTTACATTAAAAATGAATTAATGTTAAATGGCACGCCAACGTACCTAATATTAAGTTTAATTTAAATAAAAGCAGAAATATGAGAGAAACAGGTCTGAGCAAAAAGGATTACAAATAAGAAAGCTATGATTCGAAAACAAAACAAAAAATAACTAACTCTGTGACGTGTCTTGCGAGCTCCCCTCCCATTTGCCCTTAAAAAAACTTTAATCATCTATATTTTCCCTTAAGTCAATTTTAAACCATGAATACACCCTAAATATGACTTTTTATGACTATTAGTTGTATACAACTCATATACTAAACAAATCTTTTACGTCATAAATAACTAAGAAAATGAAATTCTATGAAATTTTCCATACAGAGCATATTGGTGAGGAGTTCAATTTTTGTTTCATCGATGACAACTTCAAAACTTTCCTATTTTTAATCGGATTTTGATCTAATACTTTTTCACTAATTTGTTCTTTTCAATTAGCTTTTGTCGAAACCAACTTATTATTTATTTATGAGAGATGAAGATAAAAAAAAGAAGAAGAGAGGAATTGTGAGAAAAGGGGGGAGAAAGAGAGGTAGATGGGAGAGAGAGAGAAATAGATACAGAACGAGAGTGAGTGAGAGTGAGATATATTGAGGGAGAGAGAGAGAAAGAGATAGTTACAGCAAGGAGGTTTAAGAGATGTAGACCCAACTGGGAACAAATTATTCCAAGCAGCTGCGGTTTTCTATGGTTGCAGAATAGAATCTACTGGTGTACTGTAACCTTTGATGTCCAAGATTCGAAGCCGCCAATATCATTGAAAAGCTCGAGTAGTGATTTTTTTCACAAAGAAATATCCTTAATATTACACGTTTTATTTGAAATAACAAGGGGAAAATCAAACAGATGATAAAATATGAATACAAAATCCTAATTGTGTCAAGAAATTTGTGTGATAGCAGCTTCAATTTGTGAAAAATAGTAAAATGTTACGGTCCTTAAACCTGCAATATGACACTTTTCCGATTACTTCAGGCTCGCGAAAATAAGACGTGAATTTGTTCATGTACAGTAATGTTCTTTATGATGTTATATGTCAGATTAGTGCCCACACATGCCCAGTCAAGTAATTTTGATTAATATTTCATGAAATTGTGCTCCATTTCCTTTCGCTTGCCTCCTATAAAGGTAAGCAGTGTGTACTGCTCGTATCATCAGACGAGTGGTAGCGAAAAGTAATTATCATTACAAAAGCATATTTCCCTTTGAAAGTAGCCCGTTAGTTTGCAGCTAGGCAGAAATCTGTTTGTCTACATATCTGCAAGGAAGATCCAGTTAAAGGTATTACAAAGTTTTGGTATGGGGTCATGAATTTGGTTCAAATTAACATATTGCAAGCATATGCGTTCCTACAATATTAATTCATCGTTGTCGCGGTTGGAATCGAGTCTAAAGTTATGAAATTATAAATAATAAAATCTTTATGTTGTATAGCTCCCTCTCAAGGTCAAGATATTAATTTAGCTATGAAACAATGTTTCTTGACTAAAATCGACCGATTAGCTATTCCCGTTTGGAAATTATATATCACAACTACATATTCTGAAATTTTCATGGTCGCAGCTACCATTGTACGGCCATATGCGCTATTTGAAATTTATCAAAATTTACCGGGAGCACCGGTAAATTTTTATATTCCATTTTTCTCAAAAGCAGAAGAGTTTTAGGGGCTAATTTTCCTATTGCTTATAATACATCCACAGGGGCATCCAAATATATCAAAATTGTAAAGATTCACTATCCATCCAATTTTCAAAATTTCCCAAAACTTTGTATTACCTTTAAGCACATGCCTGACATATCGAAGATGGTACAAAGGGAATGAGCTAGATATGACTCCATCCCCTAAAACTCCTTGGTTAGAGGGAAATAGAGAGAGATAGAGAGAGAGAGAGAGGAATAAAAGAGGGGGCAGTGGATTGGTAAAGATATTTTTCTCACTCTATAAATACATCCTAAAAAATGAAAAGAAATCAATGTTCATTGACCCACTATAATTAAACACACCTACAATTCCTTTCTTTGTTTAAAGGTTTACCATGTGGAAGTCGGACAAACCGAATAACTATCAAGGGTACCAGTTCTGTGTAGCACGCTTAATTGACGGCTGGAATGATCAGTTTTGCAATGGAGTACGTAGATTTGTCTGCGAGATATCAAAGGGTTCGTATGCTATTATAATACAAATCACGTAAACCTTTACATTAATTAACAGGGGAAAAAAAGACATTTTGTATATTAAATGAGATTGATAATGAATTAAAGTGAAGTGATTAGTATACAAAAAATAAACAGCAGTGAGGGCATTAGTAAGAATTACCCACACAAGGTACCTTTTGGAACAGTCCGATGCGGTAGCCGAGGGTGTTTGGACTGCTTTGAAGGTACCGAGTGTGGGTTATTTTACTAATGCCAGAACAAAATGTTGTGTATTATATGTGTTATAAGATTATGTTTCATTTGTTATATGAAATCATGTTTTATAAACATGATTTTACTAATGACCGGTTATAATCCAAATTACGCGTAAGTCAAAATAAATGCCTGGTCACGTGTACGCTTTCAACCAATCATTAGATTAAGATCCACGTCATATTCTTATAAAACCGATTAATACATCATGGGTCAAAGGAAGATTTTGAGCAATGATTTCATGAGTTAAGTTCTTTAAATCTTTGTATGCCAGACCAAAATTCTTTTTAATGGGATTGGTGTGTAGAGTCACGACAAACAATGTCACAATTATGGTTTAGGAAAGAGGTTTTACCTCCATAGCAGTAGAAATACATTTTTATTTTTCATTTTTTTAATCGACAGAACGTTGTATAGTTTCTGAAAATAATATTATAGCTTTTGTAAAATTTTGAAAGCGTCAGATTTGTTAAAACTCCAATGAATGAATTGAAAACATTCATCTGCAAATAAATTTTGACTTTAAAATATTTCTCTGTTCATGAAGGGTGCCCCCCAGGAAAATGGAATGTGCCTATCTGTGATCGTCTGTGTGATAACTGTTACAACGGAGGAGTGTGTAACCCACAGACAGGAACATGCACATGTCCTCCTGGGTTTATTGGTAAAAACTGTGTTACAGGTAAGTCGTTATAATTATAGATTCACTTTGATATAATCAGGGGCGGCGGAGCGTCTTTTAAAGGGGTCACCAACAAAAAAGGGCACCTCTTTAAGAAAAACGGTCACTGATAGAGGGTAAACTCAAAGCGAAAAAAATACAAATTTGAGAGTATGATGCATACCCCTAATTATAAGTGCATGTACCACCTTACCAATAATCATTGTCATTGTTTCTCTGCGTTTGTTTATGGCTTTTTAACTCCGGCTACAATTCGCGTGTAAAACATTCCCAAAAGGCGAAACTATCGATGTAAACTCTACGGAAAGTTATTTTCAAGGAAATATCATTGTCTACGCTTTGTTATGTTACTTGTTAAGTCTTGTTCAGCGTGCTAATGTAACGCATTGTATCTACATCTATCTGGCATCATAAATGTATAAACCTGTGTGTTATCATATCGATTAGTGTTACTATTCAGCTATTGTAGATAGGAAACCAATGTTCTTCCCTTTTTATATCTTTCTTAGTAGCAAATCACTCCCTCCCTTTTATGTTGATATTTTAGTTAACCATATTTATGTTATTAATAACATTGATAATGGATTAAAGAAAAAGTTGAGTTCTGGGGAGAGGTGAACACAAAATTTTGATCGTTTTCATTGTTATTATGCAAGTGTGGAAAAACACCAGAGAAAAATGTTTCCTGGAGAGCATTGTTCTCCAAATGCCTTCATATTTTTAATATGACATGTAACAGCTTAACAATGTGGGCCTCATTATTATGCCACATGTTTGTGTAATCCCATATACATCTTTCTGTGTACAGTGCTTGTTACTTTTACCAAGACTTGGCCAAATTTCTTATCATTTTGATGATTCGAGAACCTTGCAGTACACACCAAATACTTATTTGCTACATAATCAACTTTTTCAGATCCATTCCACACTGTTTCTATCACAATGCAATCGCATGACCAGAATTCAACTTTATCTTTAAGTGTGTAACTTAATATCGTTCCTTCTCAATACAATTTAATGTACTGTATTGCAAAAAATAGTATCAAATGTATATCAATCCAATGTAAATGGCATATTAATGCACATGAGTATATATGCTTCAAAAGATAATATATTATTAATTATCAATAACAGCATGTGGCGACCAAAGGTTCGGGTCTGAGTGTGAACTTGTATGCGGTTCTGCGATAGCTGATGATTCTTCTTGCAGCGATAACAAGTTTTGCCTTCCAGGTCCAAGTGAATGCAGGTGCATAGCTGGCTACGCAGGAGCATTCTGTAATGAAAGTAAGGTAGCACAGTGAATTGTTTTGAAAGTAATCCAGTATGAAAGTGAGATATATTTTATATGGGTTGTTGAATAACACTATGATCACAGTCAGTAGCATTGCTACCAGGGGGCATGATCAATTCTAATCTTTAAACATTTTATTTCATGAGGTATATTAAAATGATATTTTAAAATCATTCAGAATCTTTTGATAATATTTCGATTTCATTTAATAGGTTTCCCATCCATTTTGGAGGCCTTTTTCCCGTTCTCTCGTTTGTTTTCAACTTATGCTGAATATTTCTTCCTTTTGTTATGGGAGCGTGTTTTTCCAATAGTTACCTTAACCCATTGTCTACTGGAACCTGGTGGTCCCTGTGTTAAGTCTATGGGAATGAGATAATTCAGTAGTCAACGGACTAATACAAGCAATCCCTTTGTTATTATGTATCTAGCCCGACACAATATCTAACGCCTGGGTATTGCTCAATCGAATATAATTATGTGTAGACATTTAATAGAAAATAGAGATCATACTTAAAAATATGTCCTCCTTTCAGGGTCCACCGTTACCTTTGCAAATTTGATACAACGTGCGAGTATTTTTTTTGTGGCCAAATCGCTTAAATGAAATAGGTCTATGTTCTGATTCTTTATTCAATTTCAATTTTGTATAAATATCGCGAGTTTCAAAGATTTGTTAATACCTAGATTTGACTTTATTCTATATTTTTAGCCTGCCGCGATGGGGAGTTCGGCTCTGACTGTCTTCAGGATTGTCACTGTATAAATGGAATGCCGTGTGATGTGTTTACTGGAAGATGTGAAGAAGGCTGTGAGCCAGGGTGGTCAGGAGAAGGCTGTCAAGGTAAAGTATCATACTGGGCAAATCTAGAGAGGAGGAGGGTTTCAGTATAAATCAATTGAAAGATATCTATTTCAAATATCAATCTAAAATGTGATAAATGAACTGATGATGTAATGTCGCCTATGTAAAAAATGTAAAAATGCATTCTTAAAGATACAAAATAATTAGAGGATACACCGCTAGAAGCCAAACAAAAAGAAGAAGAAAAGAGAAGAAAACAAATCGTATGTCGGTGATCTGCTCTTTCCATTATTGACCGAATGCTAGGAGCCTTCAAATTAGGGATGAATAATGTATCGTCGCAATGCGTTACTCCACCTAGGCCCTCGCCATGAATTGCAAAGTCTTCAAGGAAACTTCAAAGTTCAAATATGCAAAAATGTTGTATCCACGATAGTATCCCACTGCTGCCATATATATATATATATATATATATCCACATGGGTCAGACAGTGTTATGGACCTTTCATTAGTTATTACAGACGCGGAATTGTAAAAGAAGGAACATGAGAAGAAGAAAAAAAAGGAGAAGAAAAAGGAGAAAGGGTTGAAAGAAAGATAGAAAGAAAGTGTTTTTACTATGGACTTGGAAGTTTGAGAGATATTCCATGTCACCATTGCAATAAAGAGACCAGATAGTTATAAACAATAAATCGAGACCATTATAAATGTAATCTTATAGTGACAAATGAATATACCTATTATTTGATAAAGGAATCTTTGAAAATATTTGCATAAAGCTTTTAAATACGAAAACAAATATATATAATGGTTTATTTATTCAAAAAATAAACCATTATATATATTTGTTTTCGTATTTAAAATACGAAAACAAATGTATTGTATTGCTTTTTTCACAGTGCCATCCGTTTGCCCAGTGGGTTATTTTGGTATCAACTGCACTGACCATTGCAACTGTCCAGATAATGTTGGTTGTGACAAGGTCTCTGGATTCTGTATTACAACAGAAGGTCAATGTGAAGTAGGATTCACATCAGACTCAGTGGACATGCCAGAAAGCTGCAACTCATGTGAGACTCCATTTCTGCATTTAACTAATTTTTAAATATTGCTTTGGTTTTATGCATAATTGTTTATATCATTTTCTGCCGTCCGTCTACCGTGATAGAAATATTTACAGTGGTAAAATACAAGTCATTTAGAAATCGTTATATGCAGAATCTTTCCCCTCTTGTTTTAAGTTACTGGATGTTACAACCTGTGTTCCCGCACATGTCACTGTCGAGATGGGGAAGATGATTGTAACTCGGTGACTGGTTCTTGTAGCTCAGGTAGATGCCACCCACGATGGACGGGGGAAAGCTGTCAAATAGGTATACATCATTACTGCTTTATTCGTGTTTTTCATTTCCTCCGATAGAGAGTTGCTAATTAGTTTACACATGCTTTCACATAGTTTACACACTGTTGTGTTCACATTAGGTGTTGTATCCTCTGGAAAAGACGCTATAGAAATCAAATTATCATTATCATTATCATTATTTTCATAATTATCATTATCATTACTATTATTGTTTTTGTTGCCACGCTGTTTCTTTACTGTAGACTCACCATGTGCCTTGCCTCTCATGAATTTTTATTCATTCCCATATTCATATAATTGTGTAATCCTTGCTTCTAAACTATGGTAAAGAAAATACCCTGTAAATTGGCAAAGAAATGTTACAATTCATAGTGGTATTATTTAGAATAATAATAATTCCGCTATGATGTCTCTAAGCGCTTTACAGATATACTATTACCCCGATCATTGGATTCAATACTTGCCCAAACATACTGTGTGCACAATCTCCACTCCCTGGGGAACATTCCAGCCAGGCGTTTCTTGAGTGAAAAATGCAACCTCTACCTTGGTCGCTTACATACAAGCCTAAGTAACTCTGTACTAGCTACGGTTAGTTGTGAGAAACATGACATGATAGCTCTTCTTTGGATTCCATCGATTGATTCATTCTTATTATAGTCTGAAAATCATCACGAATATAAACTGTAGCAAGAAGATTTGATAAGTTAACTGATTATTTCCCTATCTGTCTCCTTTACGGTTAGGTCGCTTTCAATCTGCACGTGAGAAGACAAATCCTGGTATTGCCATGTTTTCCTGTGCAATCTCGTTCGATTCACCAACTAGCGTTGAACCTGACTTTGTGAAAGCTACCACAGGGGATTTCTCAAGGGACAACTGGGAAACGGCCAAAGATCCTCCACAAAACATCTCTTCAACAATACTCAATTTCACGTTCAACATCCAAGATTTTCCGGATGACAGTTCTATGTATTGTTTCATCGGGGACCCTTTCAATAAATCGTCCGAGTTCGGCTATGTGAAGTTGGCATCTGCTGCTCTTTATGGTCCGTATGTTTTACAATGCTTTTTGAATAATATACATGTAGTTAATATTAATGAAATCGCCAGGCACTGTCTGATGTTCATTTTTGTCATAAATATACTGTGTTGAGTTAATAAAGGGAAATCGCATCACTACATTCATACTAAAAACATGTATGATTTATCGAGAAGGGTTGCTGAATTATGCAATAAGCCGAAATCCACATGACCAAAGGTCTTCACATTCATAACTGATTCCGAACAGTTTTTGCTTTTTGATGGAAACCAAATTATTAAAATATCGATGAAGGTTTCACTCTTGACCAGTGTTCTCTTTTCCCCTAAAAAAACAGAGCTGCCAATCTTAACTTTACTACCTACGTTAGTTGCATCCAGTCATTACTGGGTCGTCATCTCTTGGAGACCCTGGAACCGTTCCATCGATGCAGGTGATGGTCCCATTACTGGCTACAGGGTTTACGTTCATACTAAAGATGGGAACGAGACACACAGCGCTACCTTGCTATCAGATGGATCTTTGAATACTGGGTCTTCAAGAGGTAGGAGGGAAGTGACTAGTGAAGGATTAGACTTGTTGGAGTACAACATCACTGGTCTCGAAGAAGGGACAAACTACGAGATTCAAATCGCGGTGATTCGGGAAGGTCCGAAAGGAGAAGGAGATCGAGGACCTACTTTCAGTGTGAAGACCCAGGAGTTATGTGAGTTCTTCAGTTTTATTTACTTTTTGTATCTAACAGCTTTTCCACAGAATAATCATTCGTTTTGTCGGTCGATATAATATAATGATTTAATTCAAGTAACTGAGTAATGTGGATATGAAATGTACTTACTTTCAAAAAGTGGGATTTGCAGTCTCATTGTCGCATTTGAAAATATATCAAACGGGAGATTGGTTGATTAGGAGTATTGCTTTATTTAGTTAAGTCACAGACCTCCAAACAGGATTTACACCAAAAATCCTCTTCAAATAAATGCGTGCCTGATAAATAACTTAAAAAATGTATTTACATAACGATTCAGCTTTTGCATACAAAAATCGGAAAATTAAAAGTTAGTATGGATGGCATTGGGCAACAAAATTTCAAGCATTTTCCTAAATATTATCTAAAATATTCTTTTGGATCCATAACTCCTGGAATACCCACCTTCCTTGTTTTATATGATGTTTACATACGCCATAACAGTATGTTAAAGTTATCTTCTCGTTGCTTATCATTTGTCTCATTTAAAAAAAAAGTAATTTCTATAATACTCATGTTTAACGAGATAGTCTCAACTGAGAGAGCTATTGTTTTAATATATTTGTTTTAATAATTAACAGTGACCATAGCGGCCATAGGTCATATCGCTGGCGGCGCCGCTGGAGGATTGTTAATCATTTTGTGTCTTATTGTTATCATCGTCCTGTTGTTACGGAGAAAAAGGTATGGGGGAAGGGGTAGGCTGGAATGTTCCTGCATTTCATATATATATATATATACATGTTTATTTCTATATAAATATACATTATTTTACTCTCTGAGGAATACCGTTTCCGATGAATATTGAAAGCTAGAACTCTACTGACAAACTTTATTCAATTCAATTCAATTCAATTTCGGTTTATTAACGGTTTATTAATATCAACAGGTACAATGCAGTAGTCCAGGGACTAATAATGCAATGTTTAAAATAAAATGTGCATAAAAATAGGAATGATCATACAAAATAATGTACAATAAAAATGATAAAATATAAAGTTAACATTATTGTTCATACCTAAAGTTATATACATATATAAATAAATGATAATAGATGGATGAACAACCTTAAACAGTTACTTGAAATATTGAACCAATTATTGCAAGTAAAAATAATCTTTAAATAAACAAATTATTATAATAGACATATATATATATATATATAATAGACAATATTCTTATAGACTTCGGAGAGATAAGGAGGTCGAATTCGATTTTACAAAGTGCTTTAATAGACAAAGGTCGCATTTGTCACTTTAAAATAGACACGGCAAAATTAACTTGTATTCTAAGAGGAAATATCTGATAAAAAAGTATATACGTTGGAGACTTATTCAAATAGAAGAATTCAAAAAGTCCTTTTATGAGAAATAGTCAAATTGCGATTCAAAATTCTATTTTAACATCGATCACTTAAAAAATTTGTTTCTTAACTATAATGCTCCAGCTGTCATGGTTCCATTACAGTTAGTGGGAAAAAACAATATTCTGACCAAACATGTTAATTTGTACCACATTTTCGAAATGGAATAAGTTGTAATAACAATAAATCTAGATTTGAATTGCGTCTAAAATATCATATCTAATCCCTTTAAAGATTATAATATGGGATCTGTTTTCACTCGTTTTCAGAAACCGACGTGACAACATTGGTAAACGATCACCTCCTCTACAGCCTGCACATAACGACTATACACCCCGTGAGGAACTGGGTAAGTTCCAGAAGATGATAGTCATGATGGTGCATACAGTAGTAACGCTTTCTATTTTCCCATAAGATTGTTCAGTGCGTCCCTCGGGTGACATAGAAATAACCTAATTGATTGTACGTTACATTAGGTATTTTCCATTAAGCCGATTCGAAAGACATTTATGGTTGTGTTTACAGACCAACAATGCCAGTTTAACGTGGCGGAGAATTCTACCGTCACGTTAAACTGACATTGTTGGATAGATAACCTTGGTTGAAATTAAGATTTGGGAAACGTGCCAGTTGAATGCAATGTGAAATGCTTTGCATAATTATGCCAATTAGCAAATTGAGCAAAATCCTAGAGATAAACCTCGATTATTTCATGTAAAGAGTAACCCTTTTCCTATTCTTTTCCTGGTCATTTCCTCTCATTCTCTTCTTGTTCCCGACTTCGATGTGCGCAGAGACAGACGAAGAACTGGGACGATCTGGCCCATCGCCGTCGATCTCCTCACGACCCCAGGGAGACCCGCTGTTTCTCCGAAACGTTGGACACATGCAGCAGCATCATCAGAGGCGATGGATCGCGAGGATGTCGGGGTACCATCCGTCAGTTCTACAGAGAGTCGTCCAAAGGAGCTTAACTCGATACCATTGACTGACTTCCCTGCTTCCGTTCAGAAGAAAAGTTCACGAACCCTAGAGAGACCCCCTATTACTCCCAAACGCTTGACACTTGCAACAGTATCACCACAGGCGATGGATCGCGAGGATGCCGGGGTACTATCCGTTAGTTCTCCAGAGAGTGGTCCTATGGAGCGCCAGCCGATACCATTGTCTGACTTCCCTGCTTTCGTTCAGAAGAACAGGCATTCCACTTTCTTTCAAGAGGAATTCAATGTAAGTGATTTGAAACGGAAACTATGAAAGACTCTTAATCTTAATGGATTATTTTGCGTAGCTAAATGGATCGGAAAGGAGGCATGTGTGCCCCCCCCCCCCCAGTTGCTCTTGTTTGACTAAAAAATGAAGGGATAGAGAAAAAGGGAGGTTGGAGACAATTTTAGACGAACCCCGACCATTCTCCTTTTGGCGGCCGCGTTGTCCTGCATTCTATGTACCTGGAAAATCTAATGCCCCCACGAAGCAGGATTGCGGGACCCACTGAACAAATAATATATTCAACATTGACTCTTGAAAATGTCCTTTCACTCTCATATTCATAACATGAACTTAATAGCTTACTTTGTTAACTAATTATTAATTTCAATTGAATTTTTATTTTAACAAAGGACTTGCCGGAAGCAAATATCTATCCGCAAACCGTTGCCAAGAAGCAAATAAACTTCGAGAAGAACAGATACAAGAACATCCTGCCATGTAAGTAGGCCTAACTAGTAAGTAATATCAGCAAAAAGAGTCCCATCTTATTGATCGATAAGATTGGTTTTAGTGTAAGATCTGAAAATTTGTCTTAGTCCACAGAACAATGATTTTATATCTTAAACAGTTGTTACCAGTCGTTATTTACGATAATGAAATATGAAATACAAACATAACACATAAAGAAATAAAACACTCAAATATATTACAGAACTATTATATAAGGCAAAAAAAAACGAACATTAAGGGATCACCCGCTTCAGATCAACCGTCAAAGATAATCTGTTCTTCCTCGGGGTCCCAAAATAACGACAAGAAATTGATTAATTATTGATAATAATAATATTGATAATAAAACACATCCATGGAACCATGGAACCTAGCTTAATTTAATTTCGATTTTATTGAAGGGTATATTTTTCGGGAAATAAAATGAACTTAAAGATTACAGTTAAATTTTTAGGCTACATAAATTATTCAATATTTTATAGGGATCATTTTTTACTTCTTTCTTAAACAATCCAAAGTTATCTAATTTTCAAACATTACGAGGTAAGTAATTGTACAGTTTACTACCACGATAGGCCTATACAAGAGTACGTTTACAGTATTCTGTATTCGGCCTAGATAAGGTCATCTTGTTGCCATTTCTCAAGCAGTATTCTATTCATTGAAAAAAAAAGAGTGGAGCCTTATGCATAATTTTTTTACATCAAGAAATAAATGTGATTTATTTGGCGATTGCGTAGAGTCTCCCAGTCAGTCCAGAACGTCATGAATTGTATGCACAGACCTATGTTCTAAACATTTATTTTCAATATTATTCTTCCAGCACGATTTTGCAATTTCTGTAACCTATTCAACCGTGTCTTTTTTCGAGGTAGACCATACTACATCAGCATAATCAAAGTGGGGTAAAATAACTGCTTTCTACAAAAGCTTCGAACTGGATCAATTCAAAACATAAAGCCTTCCAAAATAACTAATCATATAGACTAACTAGACAAATAGAATGTCGCAGAATGGTGTGGACCATACAGGCCTTTTCGCGTCGTGATCTAGTGGAAACGTCGTGGGACTATGAATCACATAATTTGAATCCATAATGTAAGACGTCAACGTACATTTTCCTCTCTCCACCCAGATATTAAAATGGGTACCGGTAGGAAGGAATTCCCTGATTGCTGTGAGCACCGAAATCGGTACCCTTTCAGAGTCGAGGTAATGTTCGTGCACCTTGAGCACGTTGCGTGGTGGATGTGTGCGCTTTAAAATTATCCGATATTATTATTACTATGATTATAATTATTTCAGTTGTAGAACGCCGTAACCATACACAGTCTGATTATGAGTTAATATGTCCATCTTATATCTAGATGACTCCTCGAGGGTACAACTGGCGATACTCAATGATGACCCAGATTCGGATTACTTCAACGCATCTTTCATTCCTGTAAGCGTACAGTACAAGCAACAACTCTCAGCCCAAAACCCTTTTGGCACATTGGTCTTGCCCTCACTGTGCAATCATACTTAGGCTCGCCCAGCTCGGATTTTCCTCTATAATCACCTCCAAACGCACATGTCTGATATAGCAAGTCATGAAAATTGTCATCTTCTCTTTTGAGAAGGACGAACAACATATGTTTAAATGATAAATTTATCATAAAATTCAATAATAATTTTCGCACGCACATCTGTACGTCAGAGCGCCGGTAAATGTAAAGAAATTGGCCTGACTGTTAGCTTTCTCGTCCAAACTAATCGATTGTCGTACTGAGTCACACGTTACCACAACCGTGTACAATGCTTTTTAGTATTGGTTATCAGCAAAATGATTACACATATTAATTTCCATCGCATACTTAACCATTGAAAAATAGAATCTGCATTTATTCTACTTTGAATTACTTTACAGTAGGTGCACGACCGACTCTTAACATTACCTTTATAAAAGAAACAAAGTCTGCTCTTCATTTTCTTTGTAATTGAAATATAAGCAGAACTGATGACACAAAACATACCAAACATGTTTCTATGGTATTAATCAAAATGTTTGCTATGATGGATATTCATTTTCTATATAGTATATAAATATAAAGTTATGGAATAATGTATTTCGTTACAATACTTACTTTGTTTGTACGTCTATTGTCACCACATTCTCCTTTCTCCGGCAGAGCTTCCAACATCCTCGGAGGTACATTGCATCACAAGGTAATGAAATCATCATTATTTTGATGCAATTGCCGATGTATAATTCCAAGATGACACTGTTACTTTTTCCTGATGAATATTATTTGATGAGACACCTATATTTCTTGATCCCAAATTCAAATTAGCTATTAGTGATTAGGTTTTAGAAGTTGAGTTTGCGTGCGACTTCGCTGGAAACATTTAGCACACATTTTGGGATCGAAATTCCCGCATTTAGTTGTGTATCATCTTTGTAATCCGAATTTTTAGTTACAAATTAAAATGTTGAAACGAAAAGTTCAAGTTCGAATATTTCTCACATAAAGAATACAGGATATAGGCTTATACCAACAAAAACACACCCAGTTGTCATGTAAACAGTTTAGAGGAAAGGCAGACATAAAGAAATGTATTGTTTGAAACTATCCCCATATCAAATTTCTTCCAAAATAGAACTCGAGTACAACCAAAAAAGACAAGACATCCCCAAAACAGATAATTAAACGAAATGTGTAGACACAGCCATCCTAATCGTGACCTACAGTATGTTGCCAAATAATTTGCTTGATGCTCCGTTTGTTATGTTAATGTAATAAATGTTTATTTTTAAGGCTGATCGAAATTTGAAGGAATCTATACAAACAAAAACTCTGCTTTTATTAGATTCCTCATATTTTACCTTCGATTCTGTCTTACGTACCTCAGGTTTTCCGTGTAAAGTTATGCTTTGTTTTGCTTCTTAGTCGTATTTGATATAAGAAAGTTTTGGAATGACTTACTTTTCATGATTTGCAAGGACCGAACAAGGCCTCTATGGATGATTTCTGGAGGATGATCTGGCAGGAGAATGTGGCGACTATTGCCATGGTTACAAACCTTAGCGAAGGAAACAAGGTACGTATTATTATTTCAATATGTTTTTTCACCATGATCTTTATTCGATTCCATTAGACATAAATTATATTCCACTTGAATAAGTGGGTTATACAAATTATTATACAGAAACAAAAAGTTTAGCATGAAGTAAATAAAATCGCACCAACCTTTCACATTTATACATGTAGAAACAATGCTACATTAACTTCATCTCCCCTCCCCGCCCCTTCAATCTAGAACCCCCCCCCCCCCTCCCGTTCCTCTCTTCTTACCACTATACCACCCGCCCTATTCCCTAACCACCCTATACATGCACACATTATCACGCACAAAATACACCCATTGCCTTCTTACCAGACGCGCTTAACCCCCCCCCCCCCCCCCCCCTCCTCCTACACACACACCCTCACGCAGGGGAAGGAGATATTTTTGTCTATATATTAATACGTGATACCGTCACGTTGAGGCTTACTATTATTAGTGGAAATGTCAGATTTATCACGTTCACAGACATTAGTCATTAAACAAAAAATGTGGTGGGATTTAATGATAGAATATCCCCGCCAAGAACAAGATTTATGTACGTGGACGACAAACGTAGAGGATTAGGGTTATGTAGGTTATGGGGTAAGATTATGATTAGCCAAGAAACGTTTGCTGTTGTCTCGTAACTGTGAGATCATGGGTTCAAAACCAAGTCGATGTGTTAGTGCCCTTTGGTAAGGCATTAATCCTCATTGCCAAGTACCTCAAAGAGAACTAAAAGCCATCTGCCGGCTGCTTATTTACACATAGAATGTACTTCTAAGCATTCAAGTTATACCATCAACCAATCACAATCACATTGTTGAAGAGTTGGTAAACTAACGGATTCCTGGTCAACTTTCGTGATGGGGTTATCCTAAAAGTGCTGCTATTTTTCCCTTTTATTTCAAGAATATAGTTTGATTAGGAAATCCCCTTGTTCCCTGTGTAGCGGCAAGTGCCCTCTTCCGTTACTACCCTTTTGTTTGAGCTATTCCATACATGGCGTTTGCTACTCAGTGATGGTGGCCAGGTTCTAAACATCTTAAACATGGTTCTCCAGGCTTCGGGTAACTTTTTTGAGGATGGAAGTCTCAAAGATAGATATCCAAATGTTAGTAATATTCAATTTCCATTTTCCTTCGACGCATTAGATCAAGTGTCGTCAGTACTGGCCGGAAACGAGCACAACTCCTCTTCTGTTCGGTGACATTACCGTGGAGTTGGAATCTGTGGAGAAGTGCAGTGGCGGATCAAAGCGATCATTTGTCCTGCGAAAGGTACTATAGTCGTTTAATTTAATGATGACCATGGTTCATTATAGAAGTTATTGGCTTAATGATGTCGGGCAAAAGCAATACAATCAATAATTTCAATTAAGCGAAACCGCTATGTAGATATATAATAGAGGATGGAGAATCAGTCACAATAACCTTGTGATCATAAATCATAAATTTCATAAAAAATCAGAAATAATTTATACACGAGTTAAATACTGAAAACCCACTGAAAACATTGTTGCAGGCATACAAGTCTAAAAAGGTTTATAGATGGATATGTTTGGTATGTGTTTGGCACATCTTTTTTTGTCTAGGGCAAAGCAAAGACTCAGAGATTTCTCAATCAGTTCCACTACACCAAATGGCCTGATCGAGATGTTCCAAGGAACATGTCCTCTCTGCTTGACTTCATCTCTGAGGTGAGGAAGGATCATGAACAGAACAACTCTCCATTGCTCATTCACTGCAGGTAAGTCTAACCATGGAGGGTCTTTGGTCTGAATGCTAAAACGCCTGTAGAATCGTATGACCTTGCCTTATAAGAAAGTACATGGTAAATATGTTTTTCCTGCTACCATCGTATCATGTCAGAACCATAGTTATAAAAAGTACCATAGTAACCATGGTAAAAACATTATACCATGTGGCACTTTGACGGTTACAATGTACATGGTCCAGTACCATCTCTGAGGTATAAAAGAAACATTGACAGAATACTCTCTATTGTTCATTCACTGCAGGTTAGTCTAAAAATGGAAAGGACCAAGGTCTGAATTTTAAATGCCCGTAGAATCATTTGACCTTGGCGGCAGTAAATCCCTAACAGAAGAAAGGACCAGAAACAAAAACTCGAACCATGATTAGAATACTATAGTCCCATTATTTTGTCAAATAACCGAAATACGTGAAGGACGATAGTGATGCCATATCACGCTACTCTTGATTCTTATTATTTCCATTCTACTAGAATTTAAAACTTTTTACCAAATTAAATTGATATAAGTATGATAACAGAATGTTGTGTCAAATGATAATCATGACAATAAATAGTAATCCAGACTTTATTAGGAAAAAAGAGACGGCAAAACGAAAAACCTAACCAAATCAATGCATGTGGAAGAGAAGATGGTTCCTCTACCAACTCTGCACAAGTCATTGTAATGACTCTGCAACACTTACCACAATTACGGCCATTGCATACACTATGGGATCGTTCCATAAAAATTCTTTATTTGATTCCCACCTAGCGCTGGTGTTGGGAGAACAGGTGTGTTGATAACCATTGACAGCGTAGTCAGTGAAGCCAAGAGAAACAAGCTAGTGGATATCTTCGGTTTCGTGTCGAAGATCAGGCAGAGTCGACCCAACATGGTGCAGACAAAGGTCAGGAAAATGAAACGCTTTATGTGGCGTCATGAATCAATATCATGCAAGGGCTTTAAAGATCGAACACCTTTTTAGGCATGGTAATGATTCAAAATCCTCTAATTATCAAATCAAAATTGATAATAAGAGAATTAGTTAGCAGATATATCTTATAAAGTAGGCTTACATTGAAAGTTTAATTTGTACAAAAAGGCCAACCCGAGTTTGGCCTTTCAGCGGGACCCAAACTTCCCTCTCAGCTCTCGTCTATAACGATTTTGCTTCCTGACGAATCAAATAAAACTTTGAGGGAATTCATCGCACGTGCGTACCAAGAACTTTCAGTATAAATTATATCACCACAAATTGTATGGCAATAAACGAACATTGCAAAGTACGGTTAGGCCTAATAAAGGTATAAAATCAAGTCCTCGATGGAAAAGCACATAGTAGTACCATCTGAACACCAAGTCAATCCCAAAAGGACGTCGTTCAAGGATTGTATAATGTTTCTACTTTGTTTTAAATACAGGAGCAGTACAAGTTTGTTTACGAGGCTGTTCTTGAATATCTACTTTCGGAGAATACGGCTATCCCGGTCAACTATTTCACGTCTCGTTTGGCAAGGCTTCAGGATATTGATCGCAACAGTAAAGGAAGGCGAACAGGAATGTCTGTCCAGTTTGAGGTAAAATACATCACCATAAATACATCCTGTATTGATCGATTGCCCCTCTCCCCTATCTCTACTAAAGATATCGTCATGGTGTGTGTTTCCCCCCGGGGTTTCCACCCAACAATCTGTCGGTACAATATGAGTTTATAATTTGAAAGTACATCTGAATAAATGGTTGTATTAGTCACGTACAATTTGCCGGGAGCATGCATACTCGTAACGTGTGCCCTCAAACCTTAAATTGTGTTTTATCAGTACCCACAAACTCCTCTGCGACCCTTTCCCTTATTTCTTCTTTATTTTGGAGGGGGCTGGGGTCGATCAAATTGCCTCAGAAAGAATAATACTATTTGTTAATAGAGATCATCATTTTACAAGTCTGTTGTCCTTCTTTTCTCCTGTCTCCTGTGTAGAGCATCAAGATCCTGTGCCCCGACCCTCCTGCAAGTATGATCAGAAATGGAACCACTGCAGAGAATAAACCTAAGAGTCGATACGGCAACAGTCTTCCAAGTAAAGATTCATCATCTTCCCATTCGCGACAATGATTACATACAATACAGTGATATTTAGTATATGTGGAATATATACATGCTGTGATGTGATGATAATGAGATAACATAGAATAGATGTTTTTTCTGAAACAAAAATCTCAAACTGACATCAGATGATATCATTTTATATTGTAAACACAATTATTGCAATACATTTTTTTTCAAAATGGAGAAATAACTGAATTTTTTTAAAGGTATCGGCGTTTTTATATAACATATACCTACTCGAGATATTAGAACATCTAGTCTTAGGGCAAATCATCGTTTAAAACATAGATTACCGAAATGAAGGTCTGAGCAATGATTTTATTATTTTCTATTTCTCAATCTTTTTTCTCCAAATTATAATAAAGGCCGAGTGAATCGAGTAATGCTGCGCTCAGTTAACACTCAGTCTTCAGATTTCATCAATGCTAGCTTCGTGAGAGTAAGTTGTAATCGTTTAATTACTTTATGATCTAAAGTTCATCTGTTTAGAGTCAATCAATCTGGTTTGATGTACCTTCATTTAGTCAATATGACTATTTCAAGTTATTTGAGTAAATCTAGTGTGTAAGAAATTACAGTTTGACTCATTTTTTATATAACGGCATTTTCAATTAGACAGCCTTGTGCTTCTGATGATTACGTCTACCTTTGTTTTTACCTATTTTTGAGCAAACTGAGAGGTCCGAAAGAAACATTTCTGCAAACTGTAAAATTTAAGGGAATCACTGCAAAGATTCAAGCCATGACAATGATATGGGTCTTTTAGCAATTGCAGGTAGGACAATAAAGATAAACGATAGTATATTCGTCTTTATTCATTTGACGACAAAACGAACTATTTTTCCATTAAAAAAGCTATCATCTCGAACACTCTTTGTCATAAATATCAATTCAGGCTAGTTGGAATTCAATCTCCTGTAAAGAGGAGTTCCAACGCTTACCTATAAAACCTAAAAAGCAATTTTATGATCGATTTATATCTTGGTTAGGGCAATCATGGTCGGTTCATAACCACTGAGATGCCTATGCCTAACACCGTAGCTGATTTCTGGGTAATGATACTTGACTACCAACCAACGGCTATCATCATGCTGAATGATGATAATCAACGAGACAAGGTATCTATGTGTAGTAAAACAAAATAATAAACATAAATTTCATTTACTGATTATAATTTCCGTTGAAAAGAATGAAAAGAATGAAAGTTTTTTTTTTTTTTTATAGCCATGTAGGGCTATCTTCCGAATAATGATAATAAATAGAATAATTATTTAGTGAATATAGTAGAAGAAATATCTCTGCTCTTAACATAAATAGATGGGAGCTCTATAACGCAGTGTTGTTGAGCTTAACAATTCCTAAACGCATTTGTCATCTTTGACATGTACCTTATTTTAAACCGACCAAGGTATACTGAATGCAGTTCAACAGTGGTAATGCGTTTGTATTGTAAGTTGATCTCGTTCTATTTTGAAGATCCTTCCTTGGTGTGTAAGTTTGGCTATATTTTTCTGTGGTATTTTAGGGCGGGGCTTGTAATTATGTATCTCATTCTAATTCTATCCCTCTGCGCCTAAGAATAATTTACTAGATCGATGGCGCATAATAAATGCTGTATTCTATATGTTACAAAACATCGCCTTGATGCCAACAAAGCCATATCACTGTACGGAACATAGCCAGAGTTACCATCAACCTACTACCGAGTGTATGATATAATCAGTGTATGACTTAAATATTATGTGAACTGTATTGTTTTACACTACAACTAGGACAACTGTGATTTATGATATCCTTTGTTAACTGAAAATTGGGAATAGTTCTTCATGTTGGGATTTTAATAAAGAAATCATTTTACTTTAAATTTGTTTGTAACATTCTCCTAGAGCTGTGCACGGTACTGGTTCGACAATGGGATGGCGACCTTTGGATATCTCTCTGTCTTAACATTGGCGACTACCCAAAGAGAAGGCTTCGTCCAAAGGACGTTGGAAGTTTCTAGGGGAGATAAGGTAAAGCCATTTCTTGGTTTGTTTTTGTTTCGCTTGTTTCTCATGTTCTTGACAGGTTTACTTTGGGGAGTGTTTATTAATCTGTTCGATTTTGCTAGTTTCCTCTAAAAAGTTGCCGGAAAGCGTACATCGAATTTTAAGGCTATCGAAAGTACTTTAAAAAACCTGCAGCCACGTTAGTGGAGCAAACCGCGTACCTAGGATTTTATTTTAGGGGCGGCAGTGAGCACGCGAAGCTCGCTCCCTGGGTGGCGGGGGGGGGGGGATAGGTATAGAGAGTGAAGAAGCGCAGTAGCTATGACGTTTCATTGCATTATTAGAGAAATAAAACTTCAAAAGACATTTATTGTTTAGACTGTAGAGATTTATAGATATCTGATTCAGACAGAACATTCGGTCGAGGCCGTGATGTACAAACTATTTTTGATGAGCTTGTTCATATTTCATGAATATGTTGTTAGGTTCGTCATGTTGTAGAGCAGTACCAGTTTCTAGATTGGCCAGTCGATGTGATCAAACAGAAGAAGAGCGCACGATCTCTTCTAAAGCTCATAGAGGAAATGAGGGAGGTCTACTCTACTCAAAACGAGTCGCCACTCGTAGTGCATTGCTTGTAAGTATGCAGATCAAAACAAATGTAATATACATCGGATAGGCCTATTTTGCAAGTCCAGATAGTGAAAAAGTATATGTATATCCATACTTTCTTATAAGTAAACGCGATGTTAGGAACCTTCTGTAAATGGGACATACTGATAAGACAAAATGCTGACAGTTGGACCTCACTACTAAAAGTACTTTCCATCTACAATTCTACACGATTAATCGTCCCCACTCATTGTATCTCCTGGTGCGAATGTGGTAACTAACGCACACCCCCTCACACACACACACACGCGCACGCGCGCACACACACACACTCACACCGACGTGCTCTGTCTCGAAATAGTTAATAGAAGTCTATATTGAAATTTTTTCATTGCTAAAAATCAAAATGTCCAGGGTGACGATACTTTTTTGGTTGATAAAATAATACCAGATCTGTTTACGGTTTTGAGGCCAGTACTTTATTGAATATAATTCCCTTTACAAAGTTCCCATACGTAATAACTTTCTACGTGTAGGCCAACGTATACTACTTTATGAATTTGTTTCGTAAATAAATAAATTAATAAATAGTGACGAAGAGCCTGGATACTGGCATCCCGCCCTCTTGATTTGAAGATTAATTTTGTTTGGGTAACTAGGAAGAAACGTCTTACTTTCACTTACTACCCTCATATATTTGTATTTGCAGGAATGGAGTAGGTCGCACCGCAGTGTTCTGTACTGTTCTTGAGTGCATCTCTCAGATACTTGACGAGGATGATGTCAATGTCTTCCAAACGGTCAAGATGATGCGGAATGATAGGATGCACTTCGTTCAAACCGAGGTAAAGTATCCCGTATAGACATGACATTTAGTAGCTCAAACTTTATAGTACTGTTAACCACTTGCGTACATAAACCAAGTGGATCTTGTGTTTAGCCATTATGAATTAGAGCATCAATCACTTTGAGATTAATTTTGTTGTTATTTGCTATCCGAAAACAGAAGATTTAAATGTAACGGTATCCAATACTTATTACGTTATGGATACAATCATGAGTAATTTTTTATACTTATACATGTATATAGACTTTGAAAGTCCAAGGAAATGTCATGATTTAAGTATTTGTATAGTGTATGTAAACCAAACAATCTGTTTCATGTAGGCAGGTTTTATGTTTTCCTTTTCTCCTCTCTAATGTACTCTAGTTTTTATTATTATACTTTCAATTTTATACTCACTTAATCTATATCATCTTTTGTTTAATAATATATCAAACACATCTACATGGGCTTTCTGGGATATCTGTCTTCCAATTCTTACATTATCAGAGCAAATATCGTTAAAGAAAACACATATTGTAATTCTAAAAGAGGTGACGACTTTTAAACCATTCATTCGAGCATATAGCGAAATCTTGACAGGCATTTTATAATATGTTATTCTTATTACAGGAGGAGTATGCATTAATCCATATGCTGATCAATGGGTATATACAAACCAACGATTACGAGCAGTTGCCTTGCGCTGACAATGACGAGCATACATACGGGAACTTGGATTGCGCTGCACGCCCTGCCGCCGTAGAGAGCGTGTATGAGTTAACCGAGATCGAAGCTGGCGCCACCGCGTGTCCATCGCAAACACACACAGAGGAAAGAAATGCGAGTGAAGATGGGGGAACACAACATGTACAGGCTAAGACAACAGATGGGGAAACCCTCTATGAAAACTTTGCGTATGAACTTTAGGAAGTGGACTTACTACCAGAATTATCTTCTTATTATACTTGGTAAAAGTATAACATTCATAGGGTATGTCCTACTCTCTAAGTGATATTATAAAATATACACATTCAGTAATTAGGGTGCAAGGTTGGATACACAAAAACAAGGAGATTTGTCCAATGGTGTATTTCTTATTCATTCACTTATTCAGATATATTTAATCAGGATTACAAGATCACCTGGAAATGAAAATATCTGTCCTCGAATAAAAAACATGACAAAATAAACATGAAAACAAATATGAAATCAAAACAATCGTGAAAATAAAAAAAAAGGAAAAAAGAAAATGAAATAAGGTATAGTTTGATCAGTAATGTACAGACCTGTTTTAGTATTAACGTTTACGGCAAAGGCATAAATCATGTAGCGTCAATAATGTAATCTTACTAATAAAATCTTTATGTGGCTAGCTTCATTTTGTTTCCACTTTCCCCCCCAAATTATAATATTCAAGAATAAATAATGCCACTTTTTGTCTTAATCTTTGGTTCTGCATGTGAATGGATCTGAAATGACAAAACGTGTAGACCAGGTGCATGTAGGCTTGTATTGTCTAGGAATGAAATATTGAATGATAATGGTGAGAATGAATCGGAAACAATGAATCATTTCATTTCAAAATCAAGTGGATAATGATGACTGTTAGTTATTTGGTAGATTGTTGAGGTAATTTGGCAGGTCACAGTTATTCCATTATAATGGGACATAATCTAGACAATCAAAATAATGTAGAGCTGTGTGCGCATGATTGAAATCAATTATTAAACATATAGAAATAATTATGAAATACAAATTACAAGAATATATATCCATGGACTTTGAGAAGTGCGTCATAAACTTCAGACGCCAAATTTCCGACGTTTACACGAAGCTTTTTTTCTTCTTCATCAAATCATGTTGCAGGGTAGGGGTGATATCTGCCATCTGTGTACTGAGTTTTAATAGTTTATGATTAGTGTAAGGTGTAGTACTAGAAGTAGCTACCTCTAGCAAATATTATTATTTCAATATATTGTTGTACATTATATTACTTACCCAGAATTCAATTAAATGCAAAATTTACTCGACTTTAATCGACGGTGTTGCTTATTTTAAACAAAAAAAGTTTACTTGTATGATTTTGGTACTACCCAGTATTGATATAATTATGATATACATAAAACCATGTATAGGTGATGTGCAGTGTCATATATCATTATACAAGTTTAGGCAACATAGTGCATTTAGAATTGGTTAACTTAAAATAACTAAGCATCATTTTACGTGATATTTTAGAATTATGTTCATAATAAGTTTTAAACCCATTGGATTTTTGTACCCACTCTTTTTTACATCCGCTTTTTATATATGCTTCTCTTACTTAAATTTGTCTGTTCTTTTGTTTGATTATATATGTTTGTTGCGTTTTTATATTTTGTTACAGTTTACCTTTTAGTGACTCTTCTATTACTCTGCAATTGCAGAAAGTGTCATTGTTTGTTAATATGCTCTCCCTCAAATTAGTCAATGATTAAAAGTATGTTTGAATTTAACCCAAAAAAAGAAATAAGAAGAAATAGAATAAAAATAAAATGTTAATAACATATTTTTTTAGGGGATATAGTGATAGGAAATAGATTTTTGACAGTCAAAGAATTGAAAGTTAAACTTATCTATTATGATGGTAGATGGTTGAGTGAATATGCCAGAATAAGAACCGCAATACAACAAAGATGGAGGCGAATCATAAAATATGGCGAACAAGTTTATGACTTCAACGATTACAAAAGTAAATCAGTGATATACTCTAATTTGAATTTGAATAGTTTTGAATTTTCAATACACTCTATTACTGTGAAAATATATATATACTGAACTCATAGAATTAATCCAAAAACCATCTAGGGCGGTAGACTTCTGGAACAAAACCTTACAGACAAATTTTACTATTAAGTGGAATTCTTTATGGTTATTTAAATTGAAATATGCTCGTGATAATTTTTTGATACAATTCAACTTTAAATTTATGTATAATATTTTACCAACACCTGTTAATTTATTCAAATGGAAAATCAAAGAAAAAAATTATTGTGTTATTACTGTAATAAACATGGTAATATTATACATGTATTTTTTTAATGCGAAAATATTTATCGATTTTGGAACGTTATTGAAATATTATTATGTAACTCCTTCTGTAAAGATTTTAAATTCTCACCCATTTGTGTTGTATATGGTTTTCATGACGCAAAAGAAAATGTTACAGATATTGATTTAATACTTCATTATGCTTTATTTGCAATCTATAAAGCGAGTGTTGGAAATCAATTTAATAAAAATGTAGTGAATAGAATAATAAGCAAATATTTTTTATTTATGATGAAATACAAAAATAGAAGTAGAGGAAAACAAAACTAAGACAACGAATTTTAATATCATTAAGTGGAAGAAGACAATTACTAATTTAAAATCTGCTATCAAGTAAATAGAGATATAATTTGATTTAGACATGTGATTAAGGGCTTTTGTTATGAATATTTATGTACTACGATGTTATCCATGATTTTATCTGAATAAAGATTTATTTCAACAACAAAAAACAACAAAAAACAAAAAACAAAAACGTTTTTTAGAATGTACATAATGCTACTATGAAGCCAATGTTACTATACTTCATGACGTTTTTTTAGAGTATGATAAGAACATTATGTTGAATACTAAACGTCGATTTCTTAAGTGTGAAAATATGTACCCATTAGTTGATAAACAGTTATTACAGTATTGTATTAGTTATTACATACAAAGTATATATCCCTATAGTATGCAGATTTTATGGTCGCCGAATAATTTTGTATAAGCATGAGAATATCTTATATCGCTTCAAGATGCTTTGCGACTCTTTTGCATTTTAAGATTGGTGTTGTTATATCTGATTAGTTATCCAAGGACCTATATCAATCAAGAATAAAATAATTTAAATGTAGACGTGTTACATGTAGATTTATGTCGTGGTATGGCGATGGTATGGGATATTATTATGTCATTATAACTGATGGCACAATTTAATTTTACAATAAAAGTCACACAATTTCATTCAATTATTTCATTTAAAACTAATGTTACCAACTCAAACAATTTATACCAAAACATTTGTATATATTTTCATACCCGTCAGGATATGATGCAGCCATTGTTACTTAGTGTGACATGTCAAACAATTACATTTTTGATAACTATACATCTGTAATTTTGTAAGTAATTATGCCACAAATTATCATGTTTATATATAGGGAAGTTTAAAGCACGGGGATTTAGAGAACACAATCTATGACAATTATCGGTAAACCATAGAGGCACATGCGCCTCCGTGGCATTATGGATAAGGCATCGGTCTCCCAAACTGGGGATTGTGGGTTCGAGTCCCAACCGGTGAGGTAGGGACATATATTTTGTTTTAATTCAGATCACACCTACACTTTTATTGTGTGTGTATTATGGAAGAACCCACGTGGATCCACAAAAAACGATGGTGGAGAGGATGATGATAATAATAATAATAATAGTGGGTTCTTTGTTCTTGATGGAGGGGTTAGAGGGGGGGGGGTCTACTTTTCCAGGACATAATTGTTTTATATTGCCAACAGGGTCTGAATTTCAACATAATTTTGTAAAGCGTGAGATTGATGATTTCCCAGGTGTGTAATGATTTGTGATGGTGGCCGCGGCCCCGACACATAATTTTATAACATATCAAATCAAAGGATTGGATAAATTAAATGTAATATCAATTTAGATTTATAATAATCAAGCATATATCATGAGTACAATAAACTTAATTATCAAATACAATTCGGCTTATGAACCTGTTTCTTTATTAGACGATGCAGCCATTCTTTACTGTCTTTTATATGACAATTATTCAGTTGTAGTTTGTCGAGTAATGATGTGTGCGCTGTATGATTGAAAGCAAATGTGTAAAGTCATAGGTCTTCGACCGTTATAATTATATCTCATAATCTCATATCACATTAATCCTCTAGTCATGTGATGACTCTAAAGCTATTCGTACACTGTGAATAATACTAAAGAGCAGGACAAATAAATCGGCAGGAGATTTAAATATTCAGGAAGAAAAATGATAAAAGAGCGTGCAATAATACATCCGGAAACTAGCCCTTTTAGGTGAAATTTCGAATTACATACGAGAAGATGGGGAAGAAGAAGAAGAAGAAGGAGAAGAAGAAGAAGAAGAAGAAGAAGAAAAAGAAGAAGAAGAAGAAGAAGATGAAGAAAAGAAGAGATCGCAGGAGTACAGGAGGCGAAGGAGGAGGAGGATAAAGAGAAACAGGAGAATAACAAAAAAGTACAACAAGGAGCCTGAGAACCATGAGAAGAAGAGAAAGAAGGAGAGGAATAAGAAGGTGAAGAAGAAGAAAAATAAAAAGGAAAAGAAGAACAAGAAGAAGCAGAAAGAAGAAAATAAGGAAGAGATTCGCAGGGGGAGAAGAAGAAGACGAATAATTAAGAAAAGGAGAGGAAGAAGAAGAAGTAGAAGAAGAACTTCCCTATGTACATGACTGTATAGGCCTTCACAAAATGTAAAAGCCCAAAGTTTCATGCTTGTTTCTAACTTTAGGAAGACATGTGAATTAACATTGCTTTACTTTAGCACAAACGGGCACGTACGTACGTTGATATCGTACAGTACAAAAATACACAGCTGTTATCTAGCATATTCGAATACTTCGGAAGAAACTAGGAAGATGACGAAGTCTTGTGTCTCTGACAGCGTTCTTCTAAACACTGGGAATGGTTTTTAAATTATAAGGTGAGTAACAATCTGAGTATTTGTATCCTTAAACATGGACTTACATTGACTCGTAAATTGTATTTTGTTGTGAATAATGATGTGATTTGTGACGATGATTGTAGACTTTTGTAGCCTAGATAGACGATCGGAAGCCGAGGAGCGCAAAGCCCGATGCGATGGGGATGCTATCCTGTAGGCTGTAATGGTAGATGAGTGGTCTGGTGTGTGGTACTGGTGGTCTGGAGCGAGAGATGCCGCGCTGCAACAGCCGTGTCTATATTGTGTGATGCACATGTAATTCATGTCCATATTTGCAGCCAAAAATTTTTTTAAAAAGGTTAAATTCCAACGGCATTTGAAAGACAATACTAATTTAGAACTTTCCTCAAAGACGAAAAGGCTTGAAAATAGCTTTTAGTAGGAAAATAACGACCATAATCAGATAGATGTTGACAAATATCATGCTTTCTTTCTTTCTTTCTTCTTCCTTGATTTGGATTTTGTTTGACAATCAGTCACAGTTGACTATTATTTGCCACACACTATTTTATGAATTATTTATACAGTGTGTCCCAGAAAAAAAATGAAACTGAGAATTATTGATGTTTTATCATTAAAATGACACATATTAAAGCTTCACTCCTCCTCTCAGTTGATGCAACTCATAGGATACATATTTCACGCATGAGTGATTAAAAACAATTTGAAGAGAGGGTACCAAAAAGTCATTTTTAGGACGGTATCTGAATTTCAGAGAGAAAATCACATTTCTATAAAAACTTTTATTTTCTGCCCTTTCAGTTTCATGTGACGCCTCACTCGGGGAAAAAATGCGCCAGGAATAACAAAGTTCTGTTTGTTTAAAGTAATGCTTGCATTTCCATAATTTGGTAAACAAATTTGTTTTTGCTGCCTGCCTGCCATAGCAACAAACGGAGTTGACAAAAGACTTACCGGTAACTCCGTTTCGTTGACGATCAGCCATGCACAAAGAATATGAAAGACATGATGTACATGTACATGTGTACAGTATGTATAGGTCTACAGTATGTACAATTACATTGGCGCTAGTGATCATATCCAGACTTTGACCTGTATTTCCAGCATAGAGATACCCTACCGAAACATACCCAAAATCAAGTAAATACATGTATATATTCATCCATTGTTCAAATAATGGTCATGTTTTAAAAGTCAATAATGTTGTTATCTGTTATGTGTCAATTTTCTTATCTTTTTCTGAGTATTTTTCCTGAAAACTTAGACTTATAATATGCA